GGGCTTCCAGTTAGCCCCTCATCGTCTTTCCTAGTTCTACGAGCTCTGTGCACACTCCGCCCCGAGAGCTTTGATCCCAACACCAACATCTTCCCGGCCTCAATTCCAGCAACAGCTTGGACCAAACTGCATAGCGACCTCGCGGGCCCAGATCTAGCCTGAATACCCATAGCTCTCCCCACATTCAAAAACTCCGACCCTGCGCTACACAGGAGCCTAGCTTCGAAAGTCGTTCGTTACCAATCGACAACAACCAACGTATCCTCCGATTTTACACTGAAGACTCAACCTTGGCTTAAAAGCCGCATATTCAGTACCTCGCAAGAAAAATCGAAATAGGTTGGATAGCCATACACTTGGGGAGGACAGCGTTCGAATAGCGCTCAACCGTCTCGAGGCACACTCCCTTCAGCTCCAACTGGTAGCAGAGCAGAACGAAGAGGAAAACCCTTATCGCCCCACCAGGCTGCAAGGAAAGATATCTACACACAACGACGTCCAGAGCGCTCATCCCAGACCCTGAAGCTGGTCCAAAGCGCGGCATCACCGCCGACCGACCTTGCTTGGCTAATGGGGTGATCACGAGCGCCAGCTGCTAGACCTACACGACACCGTGGATCTTGCCCATCCCAACTAAAAGAGACTGCGCGAAGAGAAGTCGCGACTCCATCATCAACCAACCTTCACCGGGACTATCTCCGGAACGCTGCAGTATACTTTCCAAACCCGTGGTTCACCCACAGCCTCCCGGGTCACCGCTCCTGAAACTTCCACGTTTGAGTCAATAAAAACTTTACCTTGGTTACTTGGTATCATATGCAAAAGGGTATATTGCAATCCAGAGCTCGCACGCGTCAGCCTCTGTCGGATCAGCTACAAGACATAGTGAGACCTAGCGTCTCTCCGGCTTCGCCCACCATCTCTTCGTTGGACCGTCTGTGCTTGCTGGATATCAAGTTTCTTGGAAGAGGCAGCTCTCCCACGATTGTTGTCGTATCCCTAGGTGCAAAATTCTGGACGAGGTGCCGCTCCACCCTGCAGCTGCTTCCAGTCAACCGTTTGGCGAAAGGACTACGCTACGACGAAGCAGTCGAACGCGAAGCTTCGCCGCTGCAATTGCTCAGGATCTCCCGCACCACATTCAGTTATGGATATCACGAACATGTTGAATGGAAAAGGCCCTGCTGCTGTTGCCGCCGCCGCCGAGCGACAACTCCAGCAGCATATGGCACAGGGTGTGAGCTATAATCCTCCCCCCCAGCTGCAGCAACAGATGCCAATGCTGCCAACAACCTACGTGGAGCGATCCTTCCAAAATGTTTACATGCAGCAACAGCAGCAACAGCAGCAACAAAATCATCAGCGCGAAGCTGGTGCTGATGACTCCGGCAGTTCGCGGCAAAACAGCAATGGAAGTGTAAAAGCTTTTGCATGCACTACTTGTGGAAAAGGCTTTGCACGGAGGAGTGATCTTGCTCGTCATGGTAAGTATATCTGAACGTAGTCATCGATATCGTCGCTAATGCAATACTGTAGAACGGATACATAGCGGTGACAGGCCCCACGTGTGCCCGGAGAAAGGGTGCAACAAGCCCTTCATACAGCGATCTGCTTTAACAGTGCATATGCGAGTTCACTCAGGTGAGAAGCCACACATGTGTGAGCGCTGCGGCAAAGTAAGCAAAAGTTCTAAAAGTTGACGTGAACTACGCTGACAATCTTCGTAGCCTTTCAGCGATTCGAGCTCTCTGGCCCGACATCGTCGCATACACTCTGGGAAACGACCATACAAATGCCCCTTCGCAGATTGCCAGAAGACCTTTACCCGTCGCACTACTCTAACCCGTCACCAAAACCAACATTCTGGCACAGTGGAAGAGGCAGCTGCCGCGACTGCAGCGGCCCTTGCTTCTCGCAATCCTGGACAGCACAGCCGAGCCGACTCCGAAGTTGGGAGTTTCTCTGACACCGCATCCATGGCTTCTGGAATGACAAGAACACCTTCTCCCAGCGAACGGAATTTGCCCTTGTCGCCCTTGAGCGATGTCCCTCACATGCCCTATCTCAACCGCCAAACAAGCAACACATCCTACAACTCTAACTACAACTCTAACGATTACCTGCCCCCTCACATGCGAGCCGGACTCCAACAACCCAGCCCTCGCTCCTCTCCATCCGCAAGCTCGCCCACCCTCTCGGCCTACGGTGGCAAACACCACCGTCCATCCCTGACCTCTCATCCTATGCTTCCTGTACTCGAACCTCCTACTTTCCACGACCTTCGGCAACCTAGCAGCGGGAATGTCAGCCCACATATGAGCGGCAGCTCCGGATGGCAGAGCCCAGCACATCCGAGTGGTTTGCCGAGTCCAGGGCACAACGATGGATTTGGGTATCCTGACCCACCGTATGCATTTCCTCAGCACATGATGTCGAACATGAGGAGGCCGCAGAGCACGGAGCCTGACCATTACGAATTGAGGCCACGACTGCCGAGCAATGCTGGTGGGTGGGCGACTAACATGGGATGAGGCTGCTACTGTGAAGGATTACCAGGCCTGCGTGATACTATTGCATTCTTGCTGGTTTCTGTATTATACCCACGCTACTTTACACTGCTTGCGGCCGGCACGTTGTCTTATCTTGCATTCTACTCGCAGGATCTTTATTAGATGAGCGTGGAGTTTTATGGGTTGAAGCTGCATGCTAGTTCTAAATGGAGGACAGTGGAGGTCATTCATACACAGTTTGCATACATTTTCGGATGGCTTGGTGGCTGTCAATGGGATTTCAATCTCAGTCATACAGCCATTACGTTCAGAACCCTCCTTCGGTCTATACATAAATGCTCCATCGTTACCGATGTCGAAGATAGACAGACACACGGCTAATCCTTGGAGTATTATTCTCAAGCTGATACTCGTCTCCCCGCGATGTAATTGTAGGGAGCAGAGTCTATAGAAGTATCATTCGTGGCCCTCCTGACCGGCAACACGCACACACTCTCGTCTTCTATCGTGGACGCGAGGTCTCATCTACGCAGCGGTTGCCAGCAGTTTTCACAACTCCGGCCTTCTGTGACGGCAGAAGCATGGTGTGGCATAGATCAATGTAATCAGAGCCACAAGGAAAGTAGCACGTGGAAGTTATCCTTCCTTTTCACTCGCGTGACACTGACTTCGGTCTTGCAATCCTCAAATTCCTAGGGTGTCGTCGCTCCCTCTCAGATCGATCCCCTAAACTATAAAAACGTATTTCTTGCTAACCCGCTCAGAATCATGCAAAAAATACATACGACACTATCAAGATATGCATCGACAGCTGATTCGTTCAACGGCTAGCATCGCTCTAGCCTTCCCTAATGCCCACGACTTCGCTGAGGCCACAGGCATGAGCCCTCAATCATGGCAATTCAATGTGGCGAACAGCACTTGTGCTTCTCAAGAATGCCTTTTTAGGCTCTACACAGATCCTAGGACGCGTCCCTTAGATGTTCAAGCTGTTCTTGGCTCACCAGTATGGGGTAAAGACGTGTGGAATCTTTTGCCAACGATCAATGTGGACTATGCAGACGCAGATGGTCTGTGTACATTATCTAGCTTGAAGAAGGTCGTGGCCATAGCGTTGAGGGAGGACAAGATCTAAGCCACGGACAGAATCCACAGGTCAGTCAAGTAGATCAAGGAATCTACATGGGAAGCGCGCAATCACAATCGGCAGGGAGCGGTTCCCTGGCTGGTGAGATCAGCCGGTTAGTCTCTGGTCATGAACACTTCTTTCAGTTGTCTACAGATGACATCCGGGAACTCAGGAGTACAAGTGCGGAGTCGAGTGCCCTGTATGTGCGTAAGATCGGAGCACGCGAAGAAGTTCGCAGATCGTACCATTCGACCGCCTCCTGCCCTGTAATCGAATCAGCCTCGTGGTTTCAAGCCCGGATCCGGCAATCGATTCAGCGTCTTGAGAACGACCAGGCTATCATTCTGGGTTCTTTGAATATGAGTAGACCAAAGGGTCCAAGAGCGAGTATAAAACGGGACTCCCAAGCATATTTCGAAAAAAGTGCGGCCATCTTCCTGGCCCCGTCCTTCGTGGAAAGGCCTTAACCAAGTTTTGCCTTCCTCACAAGCGCAGCAGCTACATTCCCAACCACCTTCCACTGCAGTCCAAGGCCTTTGCGACGTATTACGACTGTTTCACGAGAAGACCAGCAAAGTCCATCTAGACGCATGGGATATCCGGTGCATCTTTAGCGAGAACGAAGGACTCATAAAATCGAGTCGGCACATACTGCCTTCAAGTGTCCGACAGTTTGTGAGGATGTGCTACGCGAATGTGCTTCGTAAAAAGGGTCTGAAGTACGAGAGGCGATCTTGTCAAACGCTTCGACTCCTCTTTCCGATTCTCTGGGGTCTTGCCCAACACTTTGATGCGTCGGGGCTTGTACTTGGAGAACATGATGAGGAATATATCCTACAATGGGCCGCCGTTGATTGGTGTCGTGTTGCTCAACTCGCGCAAAAGATCGCTCCTGAAGGCGAGGAAAAGACATATTCGCCTGCCTTCTGCGCTCAGAAAGGTACATTTGATCGTGCAAATACGACTTTCCGGAGGCTGTTTCCTTATAAGCCAAATTTCGACGCAATACGCGGTATATTATGTAACTTTTTTTATTTGATAGCTTTTACACTGCCAAATTTACTCTAGTACACTTCTAATCGGGCTTCAGGGCTCTCGGAGCTGCCGAAGGTCTTCGGGAAAACAAATCATAGTTCTTTTCCATACCTGCGCCGTGCCAGAGAAATGATGCAATCTTTCTCCATGCAATTTCTTGATAGTCGTGTTAACTTCGACACCATCAACGGCCTCGAAATTTTAAAATTGCTAGCCCCGACAACGAAAGAGGAATCAGGAGTCTTCTCAAAGTGCTGAGGGATCATGTTTTTCAGACTTCTTCTTCTCACATTACGCGTGAACTTAACCTTCGAAGCAAGAACAAGATGATTCAGTTGTCCGAGACTGAGTTAAGTCGTCTCGGCAAAGCATTTAGGGGGGTGACAGAATATATCCTCAGGCGCATCCTAGTTAATATCGAAGGGGTACGGCTCGTCGACCGGATAGCGTGTTCAGGTTCTTATGAACAAGACAGTGAAGCTCTGGCGACTAGAACTTCTCCGATTCTCGCCGAGGACTGGCGCGATATTTGCTCACGGGATTACTACCCTATGTGCAATGTCAACGCTGACATCTGCGATGATACCCCTTCCGACTCCAGGGCTACGAACGAGACGAATCCTCTTACTTTGTTTTCAAATGAACAGTCCATGAAACTCGACGGCGTTGAGCTCATCGAGGAGGATACTTTAGATCTGCGAAAATATCGCTTCTGGATCACTGAAGAAGGAGAATATCATCAAGCTGTCCAGAAATCCAATGAGGTTAGCCAAAGATTCGGAGTTTTTACACTTCTGGAGAAAGACATGCGTCAAGAAAACATAAAGGCACCGAGTCCAACGAACAAAGTAAGATCCAAAAAGAAATGCTCCGCCAAAGACGCTGTTTCTCTGGTTATCGAAGAAGTCCAAACAATTGAACAATTTACCCACGATGCTGTACCTCGTGAACCTTCCAAAGACAATGGACTCGAAGACCATAGTAGGTGACCCCTCTTGATAATTACTTTCCATGCGTCTGATATCCTAAACTAGTTTCACAGGATGAACAGTTCTTTCTTGCGCTTTCTCGGTGGAAGCAGAAGCAGCCTGGCCTTCGCACAACCTATGACTGGAAGTCCATACATACTCCCGACTGTCCAATGGTGAAACGGGTGAAACACTGCCAAGCCAACGTGTGAACGAATATTTCCTCCGTAACGCAATCAAGTTTGAGGACGTAGGGAGCGCGAAGCTTCAGAAGATGCAAGTCAAAGCTTTTGCAGCCGGGCTTTCGTCGGCGCCCAGATTGACTGCTACCGGTATTTATAGATATTTCTCTCCCTTTTCTCGATCTTCCTTATTCCCTATTTACAGGCGCAGGACTTCTTTTCAAACTCTTTCGTCAACCGATATCTTTAAACACAAAGCAAGCCGCCAATGCTGTCATCTCGCTTGCCCCGTATTTTACCAGTAACGGTAGTGCGAGAAAGGCCATCCAGGGCAAATATCGCGGATGATTTCACAAATCGCATAATTGCTGAGAGTGAGCTGAGCGGTGTCACTTGGTCAATTTCGCCTGACAACATCAAGACACAAATAGTCTAGATATAAACGATCACCCAAGGGCAAGGAAGGGTTGTCCAAGTTCGAGGAAATGGAAAAAGAATTCCATGCAACATATCAGCAGCAGTGCAGCAAGTGCCTCTGGCGCCATGCACCCAGCAATCCTAAAATTCGGCACCACGAAGAGAGTTGCATTGGACGATGCGATCGATGTGAGGAGCACGACCTACTTTGTAGAGTCTTTAGCCAACGAAGCGAAACAGATCCAGATCCAACTGGAAATACAGACCGTATCTTCTGTTTGCAGTCCAATGAGAAATGTGTACGGATGCCAATATAGGAGTTGACGTTAGCTAAGAGCGAAATAAACGACTGAGCCGCTGACACGTCATGAGAGCACAAGAGAGCCTGCCCCCTATGATTTGTATGAAAGAATCGATTTATGTACATGAGAATCAGCTATCACGCCAAGTCAAATCCCCGTAAACAAGTTGGTCTGTGAGGATTGAGTCTTTGTATATAGGGGAAATTGCCAACCTAGGGAAAATGTTAGTAGAGTCCTAACAAATAGTACGACTTTTGACCGTTTGGGTCTTAGATTAGGACGCGTCCCAGAATTTTTAAACGGAACTTACAGAATAGCCCCTTGACAATTACTCCCGAAAGATCATATCCTCGCGATCTTGGCCAGTCCCAATGTAAACAATCTGTGAGATTTATCAGGACGGTAGTATAGTTTTCAACACCCTTTCGCAATTTACCTTGGTACCAATCGATGACTCGATGAACTTGATATACTCCTGCGCTTGAAACGGAAGTTGATTCCATATCCGTACCCCTTTTGTAGAGCTTTGCCAGCCCTGAAAATCTTTATATTCAACCGTACATTTAGCAAGCTAGGTGACAAGTTAGATGGCGAAAATATAGAACGTAAAGAAAAGCGACGTACAAGACTTAGATCTGCTGGGAAACTTGAAATCTTTTCTCCATCAGGTGTAATGTATGCTATAGCCACTCGAATTATTGGAAATGTATCCAGTACATCCACTAGAGAATTTAGTTTCTAGAGTATACTAAAGATAAAGCACGGAGTACTTACGCTTAGTCAAGTTCAAGGACGTATAGTCTATTAATTCTCTCGTTAATAGTTCTACTAAGAATAGGAAGTAAAACTCGAGTAAGCTACTTACTATTCACTGCGGCGGAGTACTGAAGAACTACAAGATCAAGCCATCCGCCTGGCACATCTCCGAGTCAGCTTTATCATATTTAGTAAGTAATCAAAAGAAGTAAAGAGGAAGAGGGCCGGTATCGCGAGTGTTGGAATTGTAGCTTGAGCCCGTTCCCAAGGCACCACCAGTCAGGCCGGTATCGCGTGTGGCTGGGCCGTAACCAGAACCCATACCGGAGTCATTGTCAGTCAAACCGGATCCTGTCTCTCTGCTCGTCATTTCAGCACCGCGGATAATCGTATCGTATCCCGAGCCTATCTGAGAGGCTGAGCCCTCAGCAATCATACCCTCGTCATCGTTGAGATCAGTATCACTCGTGATATTATCTCGGCCTATGCGAGTGTTTGGATTATAGCCAGAGCTAGTACCTCCTGTAAAACCAGTATCGCGGGTATTTGAAACATCCTCACCGGCAACACCAATGCTGCGACGGACGTTGGGGTTGTAGTCCGATCCGGAGCCGGCGTTTATCGAAGACTCGTTCATTGTGATGCCACGGTCCGTAGTGCCAACCCCAGAGCCAACAAGAACAGTGTCACGCTCGGTTGTTCCAGTGTATTGAGGCCCGGAGGAGGAGGGGGGAAGATTCTGAAATGTGCCTTACATCTTCTTCTTCTGCCCGTCGAAACTCCCTGAAGAGCGTCAGTCATCTAAATGCTAGGACATAGAATGGTTGTCGTCAATAGCCTACAATTTCTCCGCCAATTTCTTGCAGCATTTTGCCGATGTCCCCACCCTGTTCGGTTGGGAACATTCCAGCCCCGACTCGTGTAGAATATGCCTTGACCACGCCAATGATGTTCCTGATCTCGAAAGGGTTGAGCGCTAGACCTTGGATGCACCCGCCTATTGAGCATGGCGTTGCGGTACAGAATGGATAGCTACCATAGTCCAGATCGAGCATTAAGGCCTGAGAACTCTCAACGAGCATTGAGAGTTTGTTCTCTCGTATAACTTTCATATATTCCACGGCATCGACGACGTATGGACGTAGTTGTTCCTTATATATCTTGAATCTTTGGATCTCATCCTCGACAGAGTATTTGAGAAGCTCGCCGTATCGTTTACGATAACCTTCGGCTAGCAAACGTAGTTTTTGTTCGAAAGATTCGTGATACAGATCAATAACTCTCAACCCGTCCCGAGCAGCCTTCGTTGAATATGCTGGGCCGATACCTCTTTTGGTCTGTAGACTTCGGAGTCAGCATTGCTCATTCAAGAAGCAAGTGGAGTTGTAAGAGAGATTGAGGGAAAAGGTCCTCCTTTTGCTCCCGAAACACATTCTGGCACGTACCGTTCCAATCTGATTCGTGCCTAATTCTTCTTCTGAGAGGCCATCGACCGCGCTATGCAGAGTGAAATTTAGATGACATCGAGAGCTGACATGAATGCGTTTATGAAGACGAGGCACACCCTGAGATTCAAGTTGATTTAGTTCTTTAAAGAACGCTTCAACGTCTGTTTGTATTTCTCCAGATCAGCACTATGCTTTCAGAGGGAGCACGGGAGTCCCGAGACTATGTTTCGGGGCTCTCAATTGGCTTGAGGGAAATACGAACTGAAAACAACGCCCGAGCCTATCAGATTGTCTGTGTTGGGGTTTACCAAGCCCGATGGCAAGAGATGAAAGCTATAGGTCTGACCACCTGTCCTGACCGAATGCCCAGCATTATGTCCACCTGTTGCCCGTGCGCAGACGTCGAACGAAAATTCGTTGAGGAGGCGATCTGTCAACTTGCCCTTCCCTTCGTCTCCCCATTGAGAGCCGAGGATAATGGTCCCCATCGTCGCTAAGTGTTTGCTGGCGATTCGTGAGACAGCAGTCTGATGTATAGCAATTGTAAGAGTACCTATGGATCATAAAGCTCGGGAGAGCTCGAAAGTAATATTTCAAGTCTCACTGAGGCAAGTTTGCCGAGGTGCTACCGGGGTACATTGCCTATGTCTTGGCACCTTGGGTAGTCTTGGCAATGCTTCTCTCAAACGAGCCTCTAGTGTACTGGCATAAGGATAATAACGCAGGCCCATTTACCCATACTTCGTTTGGTGAAGCAGCATAGATTGCTTGAACAAGGACCTCTTTACAATCCGGGAGAGTATTGCCCGCCAGACGCCCCCAACGAGATGTACTTTGTCTTCTTCGATCACCAGCAACATCTTATAGACAGCATACCAGATATCTACTGAGTTCGACTAGAGCTGTCGGTGTGACGAGCGCTCTCAGTCTCAGTAGTCAAAAAAAAATCATAAATATAGTCTGATTTAAATCTGATTATGATTTTTGATTTAAAAAATCAGAAAATCATGATTATGATTTTTTGATCTGATTATTTGTTAAGAAATAGTTCTAAGTGGAATCATATGCATAAATAATGTATGTGTGTGGTGTGATAATAATGAATTATCTAGGCCTACAGTAGAAGAAGTCTCTGCAGTGCCGCAGTGTCAAGGCACTAAGCCCAATCGAGACGCCTAGTAAAGAAATCCGTAATAAATATCATCGAAGAAGAAAAATAATAGCGTTCTCGCTATAGATATAAAGATATTAGAGATATATTATATATTATAGATCTACTTCTTCTAAATTCTCTCTAAAATCTATTAGCTATTCTTAATCTATAATCTTTATATCTTTTTTATAATAAATATAATTAGATAGAGAGACGAGTTAAAAAACGAGTTAAGAGACAAGTTAAAAGATAAGAGTAGAAAGCGAAGTATTATTATAATAAGAGAGAGACTCTCTATAATAATATATAGTAGCTTAATATAGAATAATAGAGAGCGTATTTATATTATTATTATCGCTATTATTAGTAATACTCTACTTCTCTATAACTTTTTTTATAGATTTCTTCGTAGTTTTCTTTATAATTAATTATTATTATAATTTATATTAAAAAGCGATAATTTGATATTTAATAAAGCGATACTTAGCTTTAATAGCTATTAGTTTAATCTCGAAAGTTATTAATTTAATATTAAAGACTAGTATAGTCTAATTAATTACGTTATTAATTACGATATTAATTATAGCTTATAAAGAGACTATTTACTCTATTATAAAATTAAATATAGAATATATTATAATAATAGAATAAATAGCTTAATAAAAGAATCGTTATAGATAAATATTTATAAGATCTTAATTAGATATTAAATAAAGGCGAGATAAACGTCTAAGAGATTCTAAAGATACTATACTTAATAGAAGTAATATTCTTTATAGATTTCTTCGATAGTAAATATTATAGAATTTAATTAGATATTAAATAAAGGCGAGATAAGCGAAATAACTTAATAAACGTCTATTAAATAATCTTTAAATAATATTATTATTATTAAGAAAAAATTCTAAGTAGAATTATATATATAAATAATATATATATATAGTGTGATAATAATGAACTATATAGGCCTACAGTAGAAGAAGTCTCTATAGTGCCGCAGTGCCAAGGTACTAAGCCCAATCGAGATATCTAGTAGAGGAATCCGTAAGATTATTTAGATAGAATATTAAAAAACTTTAATTTTTATAGAGATTTTAGAAAAAATTAGAGAAAATTCTTAAAAAAATATTATTTTTATAGATTTATAATTCTATTCTAAATTATATAGATATATTATATTATATTATATTTATTTAAAAATAATAATAAGTTATAATTAAAGCTAATTATATATTTCTCTCTTTAAAAATACTACTTAAGAATTTAATTTAAAAAAAATTTAAAAAAATTAAAGAAGCTATATTTTTAAAAAGTATAATTTATACTATATAGTACTATATATAGATATATATATTAAATATATATTAAGTTTTCAAGTAATTTACTCGATAAACGAATTTTCGTTTTCGAATAAATTATCGATATCTTTAATAACGCCTTAACTCTTTAATAATATAATTTATCTAAATATATCCGAAGCTAATCTATTATATCTATTCGTAATAATATTTTTTTTTATTAAAAAATTTAACTTAAAAAATTCGAAAGTAGTAGAAATAGCGAAATAAATTTAAGCTAATCGAGCTAGAATCGAAGAATCTTTAATTAAATTTCTTTAATAGTCGAGTAACTTAATCTATAATATATAAATTAATATATATTAAAGTTATAAATAAATTTATAAAGTATTTATCTTTTTAAACTTAAGATTTTCTTCGAAATAAATCTTAATCTTAAACTTCTTAACTTCGATATATTAAGATATATTAAAATTATCGAATATCTTATTATTCGAACTTTCTAAACTCAAATTCGTATATAAATATCGAGAATCGTCTAGTTATAATATGGGATTCTCGTTATTTATTTCGATTTTAGTTTTATTAGAAAAATTGTTAATAAAAAGCCTTATAAGAATTCTATAAAAAAATTCACTTATCTTTCGAATAATTCTTTAAACTTATTAATAATAATTTAATTCTCTTAATCTAAAAGACTCTAGCTTAAAAAACACTTATCTTTAAAACGAGAATTAAAAATAATTTTAAAGAAGATATTTTAATAAGTAGATTTCCACTTATTAATATTAAACTTTAAAAATTATTTATCGAGTTTTTAAATATCTTATAGATAGGCGTTTCGAAGAATTAGATTCTATAATATTAGTTAGTAAAAAGATATTTCTAAATTAAAAAAACGAAAATATAAAAAAACTTATTAGATTTATATCTCGATATCTTTTATCTAACTTATTTCGAATAGAATATATATATAAATATATATATTCGATTATCGAATAATTAGAGTTTTAAAGAATAATAAAAGATTTAGTAAAAATTCGAAAGATTTCGAACGTTTATTATATATATTCGAGTTCGTCATCTTTAAAAGTAAATTATTCTTTATTCGAAATCTTTTATAATACTTCGATTAACGTCTTAATAATTAATTAATTATTAAAAAAGTCTCTAAGTAAATCGTATATTAAATTTTAACGAATATCTTTATCTATTATAATTATTAATAAAAGATTTCTAATAAAGAGAAAAATCTATTAATTTTTAGAGGATATAAATCTTTAATACTATAAGACTCAATTTATTATTTAAATATATATTAATTTTCTAATTAATATTTGAATATTATAGCGAGAAGTCGAATTTTTCGAAATAAATATAGATTTAAAAATTTAATTAATAGAAATTTAGATAAAAAAAGATAAAAAAAAACTTATCTAAAGATAGCTAAAACTCCTTACTATCTATCTCGAGATTTTATTAATTTATAAGATTATAAATTATTTAATTATCTTTATTTTTTAAAAGTAGTTAATTTAATATATTATTAACTATATTATTAAATATATAGATTATATATTCGACGTTATAAATATCTTTATTATATTAATATTTATAATCGATTTAAAAGATTTAGACGAGGGATAAATTTATAATAACTTTATTCGTTGTAAATCTAATGTTACGGATTCCTCCACTAGGCGTTTCAATTGAACTTAGTACCTTGACACTATAGTACTATAGAGACTTCTTTCACTATAGGCCTATATAGTTCATCATTATTACACTATACACATATATTATTTATATATATAATTTCACTTAGAATTATTTCTTAATAATAATAGTAATATCTAAAGATTATTTAATAGATGTCTATTAAGTTATTTTATTTATTTTGCCTTTATTTAATATCTAATTAGATTCTATAATACTTATTATTAAAGAAATATATAGAGAATATTACTCTTATTAAATATAATATTTTTAGAGTCTCTTAGACGCTTATTTTATCTTAATCTAATATCTAATTAGAATTCTATAAATACTTATCTATAACGATTATTTTATTAGATTATTTATTTTATTACTATAGCGAATATTAGTTATTCTATATTTAATTTTATAATAGAGTAAATAATCTCTTTATAAGCTATAATTAATATCGTAATTAATAACGTAATTAATTAAATTATATTATTCTTTAAAATTAGACTAATAACTTTTAAAATTAAACTAATAATTATTAAAGCTAAATTTTATTTTACTAAGTATTAAATTATTATTTTTTAATATAGACTATAATAATAGTTAATTATAAAGAAAATTATAAAGAAATTTATAGAGAAAGTTATAGAGAAGTAGAGTATCGCTAGTAATAGCGATAATAATAATATAAATACGCTCTCTATTATTCTATATTAAACTACTATATACTATTATAGAGAGTCTCTCCCTTATTATAATAATACTTTATTTTCTATTTTTATCTTTTAACTCGTCTTTTAACTCGCTTTTTAACTTATTTCTCTATCTAATTATATTTACTATAAAAAAGATATAAAGACTATAAATTAAGAATAGCTAATAAATTTTAGAGAAGAATTAAAAGAAGTAGATTTATAATATCTAATATATCTCTAATATCTTCGTATCTATAGCGAGAACGCTATTATTTTTCTTCTTCGATAATATTTATTACGAATTTCTTTACTAGATATTTTAATTAGGCTTAATGCCTTAGCACTACGACACTATAGAGACTTCTTTCACTATAGGCCTATATAGTTCATCATTATCACACCACACACATACATTATTCATGCATATGATTCCACTTAGGACTATTCCTTAACATCTAATAAGAAATTAATTAAAAAATCGAAAAATCGAAAAAAGTATAGTAATTCAAAAAAAATTCAAAAAAATAAATACGTACAATTATATCTTATCTTCGATATCGAAAGATTTTAGAATATAATCTAAAACCCTCGCGAGATACTTAGCACTATGAGGTTTTTCGAGCAATTTTATATTA